TGCTGCGAGCCAAACATTACAGCAAAGTGCATCTGCAGAGGATCAACTGCATCTAGCTTTTAGTAGGGGGCACCTGTCCAAAATGTACCGTAAGAACCAAAAAAGGGGGGACATCATGTTGCAGCAGAGGCGTGTCACTACGACCTTGTAACTACTGGTCATGATCATCTGCATGCGGGTGCAGAAGGGAGAGCAACCAGGCTACGTACACCAGGCCACAAAGTTGGGAGTGTAGGTCAGCCAGGGGAGTGAGGAGAGCACCCTGTACATCTTGAGGCATATAGTCTACAGTTTGTTCGATTTCCTGTACCAAAGCATGTAGACCTTGCACTCTTGCATGTAGGGCTGATTCGATCTGGTGGCGCGCGCGTTCTGTATGCCGCTGTGGGGCCGCTTGTTCCGTAGGCTGCGTGTCTACTCGAAGGGCTTGCTGTCGTTGCCTGTCATCATGAGACCCAAAGCCCACTCGCCGAGGGAGGGAGCCTGACAAGGGGCGTGTCTGTAGGAAAATATCAAGAGGGTCTGCGTTCTCTGTGAAGATCCTAGCGTTCACCGCTTCAGCCAACACAGTAAGGAGGTGGCTTTCATGGTGCTGTATGTGCAAAATCATCCTGCGGAGCCGAGTTCGCTTTGTGCCATACGTTGTGGCTCCCCTAGTGTTGATTGCAATACAGCCCTGATGATAGAGCGGGATGATGGCCCCTTCCACAGTTGCCCGGAGCTTTAACAGAGCTGGCGGAAATTCAAACCCTTCTGTCCATTCTGGGAAAGGGGTATTTACGTTTTCTTTAACTGCATCCACTGGAAAAAAATGCAGCAAGTAGCACTGCGCCCTCTGCTCCCTATAGACGAAATTTACAATGAGGTCGAGAACCCCATACCGAATATCTTTATGGTGGAGCTCAAGGCGTACAAAATTGGTGACATCAACATACGTGCCATCGTCGGCCAGAAACACTGGTTCTGGATGTGTCTGCATGGCGAGTTTAATATGCAGTTTGGCTTCACAATAGTGTGTGTAAGCGAAACCCGGCTAGTACTATGCAAAAGAGGGCAGGCTGGCAAGTTGTTTCTCTTGCTCTGAGCCAAAGGTCTGCAGAGACAAAGGGAGACGTTTGATAGGGGGCCCTTGTCAAAATGGAAAGCGGGGCATTGGGTCTCTCTACTGATTCACTGGACGGGGCACTTCTTTGGGTGTGCAAATGCACGCGGCGGTGGTAAATGCTCATGCGTTCCGTCCTCCTTAACACGATATTGAATATGCCCATGTGTGATATACTGGTGTGCAGGGAGTCCACTGCTAGTTGAAGACCTGCTTTGACTGGCGCTGCAGGAGTCGGGGCTGGCTCGTGCCCTGTCTGCTGAAACAGCGGGTGCTGTTCTGCAAGTGAGAGGAGGAGAGCATCAAAAAATTCTGCCAGTGGTAGCCGTATACGCAAGACCACCTCAACTTGCGGGCGCCCCTCTGGACCCTGAGTGAGGGAACACTGATGTGGGCCAACAATGAAAGGCAGGGCCATGAGCAAAAAGCTGCTACTGATTGTCCTATTCAGGTTGGGCAGAGGCGTGCGATCACTACTCAACTTCGAGCCTGAACAGCAGCAGGCTCTGAGTCTCATGCAGTGTGGAGCAGGAGAAACACAACTACCATGACGGTAACATAGGTCTATAGCAAGTAGGTAATGAAGCCCGTGATGCGGGTCAGCGTACTCGTTACTGGCCAGCCAATAAGGATGATAGCTAGGCTCGATCTGTTCATCACTGGAAACCACTCATGTGGTAGCGATCTGCGTCTCTCGCAGGGCGGTGAGTATCGTGTCCATTTCGCTAGCTAGTGTCCAGCACGCATTGGCCCCTGGTTGAACATTGCAGTGCTGATGACGTGTACGTACATTTTGGAAGGTGCGTTGGATGTCGCACGCTAGGGTACGCACTGTGCTAGCACGAGTGATGAGTTCTCGACTAAGCCGTGCGTGCGGCGCGTCGTGACCATCAATCACGTCCTGGTCAGTAAGGGCCTGCAAAGCATACACACCTAGCTGGGCCGGGGGGCGCACTGCAACGGCCTGGGGGCTCATATCTCCACTCGCTCTGACTGATTGCTCTTGTATGGGAGTGGGGCGACTTTGCGGCAACATCCAGGGCGGGATTGGCGGTGTCGGACGTGCTGAGGCAACAGGGACCGCCGGTAGAGTATACATTTAGGTAAGATCGGCGTATCTCAGCTGGCACCGCAACTAATTGCATCTCCGATATGCGAGGGCATGTGCCATCGTCCAACGGAGTTCTTGGGAAGCCAGCAACAGCCAGTCGCAGCGGAAGCTGTCTCTGGGCTACGATTACGTTGAGTTGGACAAAATGTACCTCTCCATCAGGGTGTTTATAGATCATGCGAGCAAAGGGAGAGAGGTCCAGGCCCCCAGGTCCAATCTCCATTGATACGGCACACTTAGCTGCCACTGTGCTTCGCTCAGTGAGGATCTGGACTAAGGTCCAGACCCTCTCTTCTGGGATAGATGTTGCTTTATGGAACAGTGGTTGCAGGAACTATCCGCCCGCGGTAGCTGCCCTGTCTGTCGCAGCAGTTTGAGCCCAGGTAGCGGAATCATAAATGAGACAACTCTTCAGGCAAGGTACAAACCACAAGCCGACAAAGGAAAATAAGCAACAAGTGAAGCAAATGTCATTAGTATAGACAGACAGGGAGGGAGTCAAACACGTAACGAGGGAAGCAGCGACAAGGGAATAGATCAAACAAAAGAAGGATTCCTTGCATTTGTGCACCTAGGTCGCGAATCATCGTATACGCCGTCGCTTGGTACTGTGTACTTTTATTCTTTTTGTGAGTCGTTGCTCGAGGGCTTCCTGCTGCTCAGGGTGCGCGCCAGTGAAAGTGCGTTTTCTGTGTATGCGCACTACTGCAGGGAGAGGCCGTTGAGAGGAGGCACCGGAGTGTGAGCCGGTGACAGGGGTCGTGGAGTTACATTCAGATAACAGCTGTGCAAATTTGGGCTGCAAGGGATCACACCTCATCAGTGGCGGCTCGGCGAGGTCAAAGCCAAAAGTCTGGCAGAGATAAGTATGCAGGGCTGTGAGCAAGGCATTCTCCGGTCGCGGGGCAACCCAGAAGCCATCATGCAACCAAATGGCTGAAGCAAATCCTACCCGAGGTTGTAAGAAGGAATAGGCAGCCCGTGTAACCTGCTGTTCTGAGACCTCAAAATAATGAAAAGGAGCCCCTCGCCCTGTCCGTTCTGGACCAGTTGGGCACCATGAGGGGGGATGGTGCATGGCATAACGGCTAGCAGCGAACACTTCTCGAGCAAAACTCACCAAATGACCTGATAGTTCCGCTTGTATGCGCTTCTTGAGGTACTCTATAGCTTCCTGCGGAGTGGCACTGTTGATGATAACAAGTGGCCAGGTCTTTACCAGGGGGCCAATTTCATCCTCCGCTATGTATGTCCGAAGAGCTCCTCTGAGATAATCTCTCATTTGCGCAATTGGCTGTAACGTAAGGTGAACCTCCGCCGTCTTGCATTGTCGTCTCATGAGTTCATAGTGCGCTCCACCAATATCTATTTCCCAATGCGAATTGCCAAAGAGGAGCAGCCGAACCTGCCGCGGCAACCGCTGCGCTGCGTTGCCAACTGAGTAGAACCGGCCTCCCAAGGCATCAACGGTGGGCTTGTATCCTACGCTGAGGCAATGAGAGGACGACACTGCCAGAGCAATATAGTCCATTGCAACCCATTTATAGTGTGGGTGCCTTCGGAGTAGCGTGTGCATTTCTTGGGGAGTGGGGGAAGGGCACTCCGTGAGAACAAAAGCTGGGGCTTGCAATGCATCTCCCTGCTGAATGATGAAACCCAGAGTTTGTGCTAGGTGAAAAGGCGGGAGAGCTAAATGATGCAAGGGGACAAGTGGGTTGCCCTCCGCCTCCTTGGCTGCAGCACTGGCCTGACCAGCAAAGTAGTCGGCTAGACGATTGCATTCCCGTGGCAGATAGACAAGACGGAACAGACAAGGCGCCTGGGCAAGCAGTTGTTGGCATTGTTCTAAAATGGCGACAACCGCAGGTTTCTTAATTCTTCCTTTGTACTGAAGATAATTAATTATAGGCAAGATGTCTCCTTGAATCACAACGCTGTCAATGGGGATGCCCTTAGCCATACAGGAGACATAGTACTCAAATGCAAGATTTATGGCAGCCCGACAGGCATGTGCTTCTGCTATGACATTGTCAGGACAAGAAAGCAAGGGGATGGAAAGCCACTGGACAAGGGAAGTGGAGGACGGCGTGACGTGTAGCAAGCTAACTCCTGCCCCCCCAGTTTGTGTGTTCTTATGTGCAGAGCCATCGAATTGTACCAAGCATCCTTGCCATTCTTGTGGCTCACCTAGCAGGAGAATTGTATTTGCAGGCATATCATCCATGGCTTGCAAGCGTAAATGCGTGGCTCCACAATGGCACAAGAAAGGTACAAGACATGCAGTAGCAGTAGGGAAAGGGAGCTTTCGGTATTGTGAGAGGAGCAACCTTAGACGGTGGTCTTGCTTAACGAAAGTGGCAATGGTATCTCCTTTAGCAAAGGACTGCGTCGTTGCGAGTCCCTTGGAGGGGAGCAGTGCAGCTTCTAGTATTTAGGGTTTAAAACTCAACCACAAACACGCAGGCGTAACACGGCTACGCGTAGGGTAACACAGAAACGTTGGCGAGGCTTAGGTAACCAAGGTTAAAGGGGGGAAACAAGTCTTACTTGCAACCCCCCAAGCGAAAGCACAAGACATCACAAGTACATGTCTGCAACAAGAACACTGAGACTCGCAAACTTAAGTTTACTGCATTAGTTCAGCAAAACGTAAACATGAAACAAGCACTGACATGTCTGAATCTGCTACGCTCACCTTTTTGGACATGGGCGAACAGTTTGGTTGTCAAGTCTCACCCCACCCCATATTTCATGGGCAACCAAACCAGACCCCCTTCACCACCCCCATCAGGGTGGCAAGGGCAAGGTCCCTGAGACCTCAACAAGTTCAGCCCCTGTGAGCGGACAAGACGGCACGACACGTCGTCCATGAAAGACGTCACAAACAATAGCGAAGTCACCTCTAGATGGCCCATCAGCCACATTGGATTCGGACGGTACACGAGTAAACCACGGCCAACATGGTTCACGGAGTTCTAAACGTTCGAACTCGAGAAGAAGCTTACGAAAGGCAGGGCTCGGGGAGGTGCCCTTTATGCAAGCGTCCATCGCCGACGAGTTGTCTATAAAGAACACACACCGCCTCTGAGACAGGGCCGTGCTCCACACGGAGCGCGCAAGCACAACCGCATAAAGTTCAACTGGTCCTATCACGTGCTTCATGGATTCCTGCCAATCCTCTACGAGTGCTTGGGGCAGCACCCCACTGAAGAACTCAGGCCTGTCAAGTTCGGGGTCGAACAGAACGCCTCCCACAGTGTGAAGGTCACCCTCACTAGCCCCGTCAGTGAACACTAGAACTGGCGGCAGGCAGTCATTGCAAGGAACGATCCTAGGCACTCCGTTGCTAAGCCTATCGAGGAGGACGTGGAAAGACTGCAAGGCCTCACTGGACAACGTGGACATGTTTTCATGTCGCTTCACCGACTCGCGGATGGCACACATCGCAAGCCTACCAGTCCTACCCATGATCTGGCTGTCTGCATATTGAATTCGGCCAAGCAACTTACTGCTCTCTGTGAAGGAAAGCTTGCCATTGCCTATTACGGCCTGAATCATACCAGAAACTTCCTTGATCCGTGAAGGCTTATTGGACACCCTGACTCCCAAAGTGTTCACCTGCGCGACGTCAGCTACAACACCAAGGACTTGCACCTGTTCAGAGAAGTCTTTCAGCTTGTCTTTACTATATGCGAAGCCCAACAAGTCAAGCATGCTCATCACACTCGCCATGCTCGACTTAGAGAGCGCGACTGGCGACACGACCGGGTAATCATCAAAGTAATTACTCATGATGACGTCAAGATGCAGCCCAACGGCTTGGATGAACCTTGCAACCCTGTTGAAGTGCACTACACTGGCCGTGGCCCCGAATGGCAAGACCCTGCCTTCAAAGCAATGAACATCCTGAGTGTTGGGGTCTTTGATGGCAATTATGGACAACTTCCTGCAGTCCGGATGGATGGCCAACTGTTTGTAGGCCGATGCAAGGTCGACGACAGTCAACACAGGTTTCCAACCGTCGTTTACGAGAAGAGATCGACTCATGCACCGGTCCCCTGAGCTCCGTGCCGTCACTCAAGACAAAGTGCGCTTCACCTTTGGCCACGCAGCAGCGGGAAATTGCAACGCAAGCCCACACCATCTGGTCGAGGGCCCTAAGGTCTAACTTATCGAGATATGCAAAGGCAGAGTTGACCCGGTTCTCAGCGTAATCATCAATTGGTCTAAGTTTAGTGGACTCTCCAGAGGTCTGCCAAACTCCAAACCTACGAACGGGGACCCACTGGTCACCGTGCATACCGTGGACATCACTAACAGATAATGGGCCATTCATCCAATGTTTGTTGGTAGCCTCTTCACAAGTCATGTCATAGAGCTTCCTAAGGTCATCACTAACCTCGGACGATCTAACCTTTCCAAGGAGGGCAGGCCTAACGAACTTAGCACAACTCTTCAGCTCCTCCTTGGAAATGGACGCCGGGCGAAACTCAGTGGCGAAAAGTCCAGAGGCCGGCTGAGAGCCTACCAAGCCAAAACCTTCAACCATCTCGTCAAAAACACTCATGTCAGGCCATGATATCTGTTTGGCGATGTGTTTCATGAGAAGGATCCGTTTTCCTTTCAGCACAGCTGCAATGCCCGGCTCCATGCTGGCATGTAGCTGACGCTCGAGATTTGCATTATCCTTGGCAAATGCGGACCACTCCCTAAGTGTCCTGGCTCTCCTAAGGGCAATGTCTCCAATTTGCATGGTCAAATTACGGAATAATACCTTCAGCATGCTGTCTGGCAAAGCATGGAACATGTCAAAGGGGTGGCTCACCAACTTGGACTCATGGACAAACTCAACAGGGTCACGAAACACGCCAAAAGTATGCTGGCACACCTGGTTGCCCACGTTCTCGTCACCTATCGCTTTCTTCGTCTTCCCCAAATTCGCGATGGGGGTAAGAAGTTTAGCCCCTACGGGCAAGTGCTGGAAAGGCTGGGTCAAGCGTCGTTTAGTATCCAACGGTGGAGCTTCGGCAAGCGCCACAGTTGAGAGGTATTTGTATTGGAACGGCTCGGCCTCGAGGTTGCTTTTGCATGGCGATGGTCCCTTTCACATTTACCGGCAGAGACATGCGAGGGCAGTCTGCATGCGTGGGACTGGAACTGGAAAGGAACGTCGAAGGTTGGACACTTTGTCGGACTATGTCAACAATTTTCAAGCACAATTCACGCGGATAAGCAGCCTCCGCACTGGCGGCGTAACGCCTCGAGCCATCGGCGTTGCGCTTACGCCCAACTGGCAAGTGGCGATGATTGCCAGGACAGGTGGCGGCCAATTGCGAGATATGAGGCAGCGTGGAGAGGAAGGTTCGCTGGACAAATCGCTGAGAACCCCAAGCACAGGCATCAAAGTCAACAAAGGTCCCAACAAGTGACAGGTCAACGATGCAGGGAATCTCCCACAGGAGACTGCGTCGTGGGTTTTCAATGGCCCAGTAAACGCCATGCTGCGTACAGTGGAGCAAGAATTGAGCCGTCCTAGAGTAGACGCCATTGGCAGCGTCAACGCGGGCCTGATCTCTGGCTTGAAGGCCTGGCAAGCCCAGCGGGGAAGCCTGGCTTCGCAATGGGTGTGGATGATGGCCGGGGAGGTCAATTTCTCTGGCGCGGGAGCAGGTACCGCAGGGCAGAGCGCAATGCACAAAGACGACATGAAATTGGTCCAACACGTCATGCAAGAAAGTCCATGAACAGTCCTTGGACAAGTCAAGCTCGCAAATAGGCGCAAGAGGCGTGAATCGATTATGTTTGTGGTCAACTGGTAAAATATCAAAGTTCGCTTCTTGGAAGCGTGAACTCAACATGGCCGATCCGGCACACAGCTCAATGATCAATGGCAAGGATGGGTCAACGGTCTCCATCGCTACCGGTTCAGAGGAATTCTTCATGACCGGTGAGTTCGGGCTGCATGATCCCTTAGGGAGTGAGCAGCCCCCGGCCTGGCGTCAAGCCGTGGACTGTTTTGGGCAGTTCTGGTAATGATGCCCTGGTTTGTAGCAGCCCTTTACACAACACACATGCAAGCCTTTCGTGCATCGTCCACGGGAGACCGGCAAACGACATTTGTTCAAGTTGAAGTCAAAACAGATCGGGTGTCCATGCGTTGTACCAGGAGTGCCCTTCTCAAGTCCTTGCGGCATGCGGACTTTCAACGATCCCTTGCCCTTACCTTTGGCACCTCCTGGATGTTCGGTGCGCCGGCGCTTGGACTCATCCTGAGGCAAGTCAGGATCGCGCTTTGGAGTTACAGAACTGGCCACTGGCATGGGCTGCAACAAATGAAGGACATCAGGATGGTTCATGGCGGCTTCAAACGCGAGTTCAACCGGCCTCCCACCTGCAGTGAGCTGGATTCCTGAGCGAGTGGCTTCCGCAAGCTTAACGAACAGTCTGCGATCTGCATTGATTACTTGCTGATGTGTGATTCGGCCATAACCATCTGGCGGGTTCTCAAGTCTTGCGTCGAAAACTTTCTCAATCCAACGATCATGCATGAGGTACGACAAAATGTTACCCTGGTCAAAAGCAAGGCCCCGACGCTGCATAGCCTGTCGAACAAGCAAGTCTGAGCTCAAGTCGGCTTCAAGTTTTAGCTCTTTATCCTTGATCTTCACGTTTCCTGTTGCATCGATGCTGAGCTGTCGGTCTTCTTTGGATCCTGCAACCAGGACCTCCTGCTCTTTGTGGGTACACTTTGAAAGCTCGATATACGACAAGCGGTTCGCTTCATACATCGAGACGACACGATCGATCAACCGGTCACTAGGCTCAAGCTTACCTTCTATTCGGAGGCCTATCAACCTGGCTTGTTGCTTAGCAAGGCGCTCAGCTCGCTCTGGTTGGGTTAGGCGTTTGATTGGGGCATCGTCGGTTCTTTCAACAGAAAGTTTCAATTCGGCTGCACTCATTGCAAATGCTTCATGGAACAATCTACGAAGGCCTGACAACTCGCCAACGGTGGGGGCCCGACCAAGAAGATCCTGAACCGCTTGGGTGAAGGGCGTCTCATCTGCTGCACCAGGTACGAAAGAACTGCAAAAAGCATACTTTGAAAGTGTGTTCACTCCACCGCGAACGAATGCGTCAATGATTGCACTGTCAATACTAAGCGCTGACGCTCTGGCCTTGAAGTTTGCCTCCGAGTCGGTCACGGACATGGCGCACTAAGGCAGGTGCAATTACGCAAGTCCCAAAAATTGAAAAATTGATGACAATTCCAGAGTTGGGTGTGAATTACATATTAGGGTCATAGCGTGATGAACAACACTTCCCTGGAGCCAAGCGCCAGGCATCGAATCGATGCACAACCCGGCCCAATGACCGGTCCTCCCTCCAGTGAGGGCTCCAAGGCAATGCAGTCGCAAATCGACAGCAAACCATCTGGTGGTTCAAAACAAGACTCATTCCAAAGAATGTGATGCACAAAATGCAAAAATTTTCCACTTAGCTTGGCCCATGGCCAAACAAAGAGGCAAATTGGCAACATGAATCCAGTGATTCGCAGAACAATGAACACACTTGTTCATTCAAGAAGGTCCGCGCGCGCGCGCGCCTTTTGGATGTCTTTTTGGGGCCCCGTCAGGTGCGCGCGCGCGCGGACCCAAACCCCCAGAAATCGTCGGCGACTTTTCCCTTTTTGATGCAGGTACAGCCGTCAACGGCCCGACAAATGCCTGAAGCATTGCTGACACTGCGGTGACAGGAACTTTGGAGGCGGGTCCAGCCTGAAGTAGCTGGCAGTCACTGTCCTGCCGCAATGGAACCTGTTACCAGCTTCATCGGCAATCAAGTGGACAAAACGAGTCTGCTTGTTTCTAAAAATCTCGTTCGACTGCTCAGGGGACTGTGGTACCCGTGCATGCTCGGCCCACTCGTCAAGGACCTCCTCCTGGGCAGATTCTTCTTTTTCAAGATCGAGTCCTTTCTCCTCTTCATCAGCTGAATCCTCCGAAGATGAGTCAGAGATTTCAACCGATGGTTCACGCTCTGCTTCAGGCACCACGTCTTCCTCCTCTTCAGCAGCCACGAAGTACCCTGAACGGGTATTGTCTGGCTTGAATCGTTGACTTCGAATGGATCCAAGAACACGTTCTAAGTCACGCAAAGGTTGCGCCACAGCATCTCTCGAGTAGAGAAGCATGGTGCTCTCTCCAGGACCTGTGTGGTAGCCAAGATGCCGCCTGTGTTCCGGCAGAACGCCAAATTTGGCGCACCATGACAAACATGTAGCCTTGAGGCTATGTGTTCCAGTGTTATCCAGAGACTCCCAAGGCACCCCAGCTACGTGTAAAATCTTCCTGAGCCAGTCACCAGCGTCTGAAGCCTTCAGCGGTACACGGTTCCAGCCTCGGCGTGATGGTGCCGGCAAGAGAGGGATGCCTGCGCCCTTTGGGACTCCACTCTCAATGCACGCACGTTGCCAACCTTTGAACCAATCCGTGCCTCCAACGCCAAGCCTGGGCGCTGCCATAGGCAACAGACGCGTCTTGCGCTCAGTTGTATACGAAGTCTTCGATCTCGAGACTGAGGCTTCAATGTACCCACCTGGCACGCCATCAAATTCAATTTCATCAGCTAGCAGGTTCTCCATGACCAGCATGTCGCTATATCGGGCCCGCATGTAGAGGCACAACAAGAAGCAGCCTGCAGCAACTCTGTCCCTTGCCAATGCCCGGGGGTCTTGAACAAAGTCCTCAAGCCTCTTGGTCATGTCAACCGTCAATGGATCTCGAGGTCGAGTTTTTCGTTTGTTCAAGAACATTTCATGCGCAAGACCGCTAACTCTTTTACTTGTAACCGCGTCCTCTGCACCGCTGAGCCCAAGGATGTGCCACGAAAACGCCAACGAAACAAGAAGGCTGCGCAAAAAGGTCGGTGAACATGAAGTGCTCTCTGACAACATAAACCGATAGACGTTCTCTTCTCGAATTGGGAAAACAGTCACAAAGACTCTTTTAGCCCAAGCAATGTACCTCAGCAAAGGTCCAACCCTGTTGTGCAATGTTCCGGTGGACTTGTTCGCAAAAACATGCTTCAACGACTCACCCAAGGAAGGTCCCAACGGTCCGTCACGAGAAAGCTGCCGACCCAAAGTGAAGCAAAGCAAGTTCTGCAACAAAACTCCTGACCACTTTCGAATTGCTGCAACTCGTTGAGAAGCCATGGCCTCCTGCCAAGTCCTTGAATCTAAGGATCTTTTGCCATGATATACCATGAGCGTACTCACCTGAGGAGGAATCTCATCAACTTCCATCTCCTGCAAAGCAATATCGATAAAGAATGCTCCTGACGGAACTGGGTAAGGAACCGGTGTTCCAACTGCCTGAGCTCCAGAAGAAACAGCATAAATTGGTCTGTAAATAGATCCCCAGCTCACCCGTCTGCAATGTGCCAGGTGCCCATCAAAGGCATCCATCGCTCATTCTCTATCTACCCAAGTTTGTTTGCTTTGCTGTCACGTCGTTCCCACCTCAACCCGCCGCTTGAGAAGGAACGCGGTTCATACAGAATGACGAGTCCACAAAGGGGCTCAAACATATTTAACTTTTGGTTTTTCATGAAGCATGAGAAACAGTAAATACACCATACATGCAAAAGGTGTTTGCGAACACCATCGCCTTTGGTGAGGTCAGTTCAAACCAAGAAGAGGTTGAGCACTCGAACACTCGTTATTTTAAATCAAAAAGGGAACAAGATACTACGTATCCAGTTAACCCAACCGCGGGGAAACGCTGCAACGTAATTTTTGTGGAGTCAGTACACGCAATACTGCTGGATAGCGGTGGAGCACGGAAGTTTCTGAGCAGCGTGCTAGGCAGCGAAGAATAGATACGCTGCCAGAGATCAAGCACATGGTGCGAGACCTTGCGGTTGTGCACACACAAGATGTTAGGCCGGAGTCCGCCACATTCGGTAACTAGTCGTCGAAGATGGAAAAGCATGTAGCAAAGTGCTACTCCTGCGCTGCGGGACGGTACTTTGCGCCAGGTAATTTCTGGTGCCGGAGCAACCCACAGAGCCAGCCAGGTGAGATGCACAACTGGACAGAAGGATAACCAATGATCGATAGAGTTGAAACCACCCTGACAAAGTACACAGGGAACATACGAGCCAACCGCTCGACAGCCTACAGAGGACAGTAGGCGAGAAAAAGCAGGGGGGCAGTTGCTTGGGCTCTGGCACGATAATCTGATGGAAATGCAAAAAGTTCTTGCTTTCATCAGAAAGGTTGTTTAAAGTAAGATCGATTGGAGTAGCAGGTAGGAAACAAGTCGGGCAAAGTGCTCCGTATCCCGGTCCATATGGGAAACATCGTGTACTGTTGCTACACCAAACACAGAGTTGACTACGACTGAGCTTGCCCCTGAGGGGCAACCAGAAGTCAGCATCTTCTCCTAGAGCCCATCGTAAGACAGCATAGCGTGGCACTGCCCCTACCTGAGTGGTAGGAAGATCCGCTAGCCAGTTTAAGAAAAGAATAGAGGGCCCCATGGCCCAACCATTCTTGTATATTCTCGCCACCAAATGCCTATGCGAGGCTGCAAGCAATTTGTTAACAGCTAGTTGTTTGAAGAGCTGTTTGAATCTACTCGCTCTCTGTGCCGGTGTGGTGTTTTCTCTTACCAGGGCTAGGAGCCGCTGTACGTCTTCGGCTGGCTGGAAGCTGCTGTTGCCAATATTTCCAGCATTGCTGGATTTGTGTGGCATAGGAACCTGCTTGTTCCTCTGCAAAGGACCTATGCCCTTGCCGTAAGTAGCATCCAAAGAGGGAAATTGCCTGCATAATGGTTGGGTCAAGCAGCGGGCCCAGGCGCAGCCACCTGCAGAGACCAACCATGTGGTGTTGCGGGAACCAATGCCGCTGCAGCAAAAAATCTGCCATAGCATGGTACAGCGGCTTGAGAAGCTTGGGCGAGAAGAAACGTTGCATCTGCGAGTAGTAGAAAAGGCTCAGTGAAAAGGTGTTGAAGTAGATAATCTTCATGTGAATGCTAAGGTTGGCCCGCTTGGCAGCAGCAAGCCTCGTACGGAATTTAGCAAGCTGTTTTGACAGCAAAGTGACGAGAGATGTTTGCAGCTGCACTTTGACCATGGTCTCATTCATCAGTTGACATGTCCACCCGGTATGGATCCTTAGACCAAGATTGACAGTTGACGGCACAATACACTGACCGCCTAAGCCAGCTTGGTCCAGACAATATAGCTGCTCTGCAGAATAACTGACATTCGTGAGCAGTTGCGTTTTTGATCGACATTGGCATGGACTAGCTGCCAAACGGCAAAGCATGGGGTGCCCTTCAGTTACTAGTCTAGGAATGGCATCTGAAGCCATGTGTATGCAGTGGTCACCGTGTCTAAGGACAAAGCGACGTGCATAACCAGGGACACGTTGTAGCGCTGCACTGCAAGTGGCTTGTCCTGATTCATGAATGGGAGTTACGTAGCTCCAGACATCTTCAACTTTGTACAGCGTGTTTTCGTCAAGAGCTCTGCTGGAGAATCCTACTTGCCAGCAGTGATGCGTGTCCATGACAATACCGGCAGTCTTCCATTTCTTAATGTTTTGAAAGACCTCTTGAACCCACCTCGAGTCCGTCTGCCGACCAACTATCGTAGTGTCATCAACATACCCAGCCACCACGATAACTTGTGGAATTTGATTGAGTACAACAAATATTGGGTCCATGGCAAGACAGAAGAAATAAACAGATGTGGATCGTCCCATATCAACACCAGAATGCACATTTCTTGCTGGTAGAAGTCGCCCTTGTACTTTGTGTCTAATTCTCCTGCCAAACAGTAGATAACGCGCAAATTGGAGGACCCAAGGGGAGCGCTGACGAATACGTAGTATATGAAGGATCCAATGTGCATTAATACGCTCAAAAGCTTTGGATAGATCAGCAAAGAGGGCAGAAGCAGGAGAGGAGCCCTCAAGGGCTCCTTGTACTTCCAGCACTGCTCTCTGCGGCTCTCGAAAGGAGTTAAGCAGAGTTTGGGCAGGGTGAAAGCTGTGCCTGGTGATCCGGAAAAGAGTTACAGCAGCGGTGCCATCTTGTAGTCTGTCAAGCGTGTCTGGCATGCCTAGTGGTCGGAAGAAGTCTGCCGTGGGCCCTTGTTTGGCTTTCGGGATCCATACTCCTACTTGGGTGGGTGGCGCTAATACACCAGCCAAGATATGATGAAAGTCATCCTGAAGGATTGCAGCAGTCTGTTGTGGGAACATCCGCCAAAGAGCATAAGGTAACCCATCAGGGCCGGGAGCTGAGTCTTTAGTAAGGAGGAGATGTTCGATATAATCTTGCTCGGTGGGTTCAGGAATCTCAGGCCACGGCAAGACACACCGTCGGTAAGCCGAAAGCGTGTCGTGCCAATCTCGATCATACTTAATAGGGTGTGTGAACCAAAAGTCACGGGTCGCAAGCATTGCTTCATCATACTCAAGGGCAGTACGACATTCTTGCCCATTATGTTGTAACAATGGCCCATGATAAAAAGTGCCTCTAGGGCACACGGTTTTAAGCCTGTCCCAGAAGATTTTTTGTCTTCTAATTCGCTGGACTGGGTCTGTGTTGTCAGTGCCAAAGGGCATTTGTAGATTCGTCGCGGTTGCAACTTCAGCTGCTTGTAAAGCAGCAGCTACGATGGTGGCTGGAATCAAAAGGCATCCCTGCTGAGTTTGCCATGGCTGTAAAAGATCAGTATCCGCACTTTGCTCATACAACAATCGTACTTCGTCCTGTCTTATATGCAGGTGTGTTTGTTCTTTGCCCAAGAGCTTGTATAAGCGTTTTAGTGGAGACAGTTTTTTGAAGTGACAAGAGTGAGTTCTCCACCAGCTCCAAACTACTGCGCGACAATGCTGCGAGAGCACAACACTGGCGAGCCTGGTTTCTTGCGCTAACGAAATTTTTCGTTTAAGAGCAAGTAGAGAAGCTTGCCTTGCAGCTGCCTGTAGACTTTCCGATGCTACTGTTGGGTCAAGAAAAACTTGAGTCGGTATTGTATGATGTTTCTCAGACTGCGGATGTGGTCGAAGGCGCGGTTTCATCTTTAGCCTGAGCATTAAGGCTTTATGGTGACAGGTACCAATGCGATACCTGCCATATATACGAGCGAAAAGTTGTGTTGTATCAAGGAAAAGGCTAGGCACTAAGAATCGATCAAGTGCGGATTCCTGGTCTTGGTATTTATAGGTAGGAAGTGCAGGATCAACATCTGTGAGCCCAGCCTGCACAAGGAAATCATCCCACGTATGAAAGTGATTCTGATCACAGCGATTAAAGTCACCTCCAACAAAGACCGGATGATCAGTCAGAGCAAGAACGGTTTGCAAAGTGGTTGAGACAAAAGGCTTAGGGCTGTTCGGAGGGATGTAGCGGGAACAAGCCATATGGTGCAAGCTTGGTATTCAACACGAGCAGCAACCGCATAGTGCTGAACCAAGACACGTTCTTCTAAGACTTTCCAACCTGGAGGAAACAGGATTGCAACTCCAGCCTGCTCCCCCGGATTTTGCTTGGCCAGAGTGGTAACTACTTTAATATCAGGCCACGTGTGGGATAAGTATTGGAGATTAGCCTGATTCCACTTTGTTTCCTGTAGCAGTACTGGGGCCTGTTTCAACATAGTTTTGACTATCCAAGTCTTGTGCACATTGGTGGGAAGTCCAGGAGACCAGCTATTGAGATTCCAAGAGTAAATGCCTTTTACAGAGACCGGCAGGTTGCTAGGCCTCTGCGTACGAAATTGTAGTATGTT